TGAAAAGCATCAGAGCCACATGGCTGAGCCCCAGCTCCACTTCCTGGGAGGTGGACATCACTCTTGCCATGCTGGGTGGGCTGGGGCGCTTCCTCCTCTTACCCGGCTTTATCCGGAAGGATGCCTCCTTACCTGAACCGAGGAAACCGAGGAAAATGAGGAAGCAAACCTCTGTCCAGACCCAACAGACAGTGATTCTCTCTTTTCTTCTTATTACTATCTCCACTCTTCCAAATCAACTAGAGAGATGCCTGAGATGGGAAATCTCGGGAAAGATTAGAACAGCATCCTTCTAGGGACAGACAGGACAGGCCAGGGGTGAGAGCGGACACTAGGATTTCTGTCCAAAGCTCTCAGACCAGCTGTGCTGCTCAGCGGGAGGGACCAAGGCAAGGTCAGACATCGAGACTCAGCTCTGTGGCCTAGAACGGGATTGCTAAGAGCTGAGATCTCCGTGGGAGGACAGGCCCTGAGCTCATCAGCCCCTTCTGGGGGCAGGTGCCTCGGGCCAATTCTTGTCTGTGTGTTGGGCTCTTATGAGGGCCTTTCTGGGCCCCTGACAGCTCCCCTCAGAGGCTGGAGGGGACTCTGGCCTTGGAATGTGGAATCCTACCTGACAGCCCAGATGCAAGCCTAGCCTGTGGGTTTCCAGAGAAACTGAGGACATCTGCAGTGGAGCTCACATAGAAAATCCCTCTTTCTTTTTTTCACAGAAGGAAAACAGGAATCAATTTTATCCACGTTCAAAATGAGTAAAAGGCAAGAAAAGAGCACAGGGCTCCATCAGCTAACTGTAGAAAGTCGTGTTGTTCGTGAATGCTGTGCGTCTGCAGCTTGTCTAGGGGGAGGAGAGTGAGACTCGGGTCCCAGCCCTCGTTCTTTCTTGTCTCTCAGCGTCAGGTGGAGACAAGGAGGAGCAGGAAGAGTGACGCTCGGCCAGGGAAGGCTCTGCCCTTCTGCCGGAGCCCCGGAGGTGACCTGACCTTGCACGTCCCTGAGCAATGAGGGCCATGTC